TGATGAGTAGAATATTGAATATCATATGTTCAACACTTAATGTTCTCTTTGATTGCTTCGTAACTCTGCATGTAAAGTACATACACCATTTAATAATCTGTGTTGGAGTATTACATGCGTGTCAAGCAATAAAACAACGGAAACTCTTAACATGATTGCACATAGACGAATGTGCACTTGATAGACGAAAAGTTTGGATTTAGAATTCTTTGCTGATTATCCGACAACCATGCACGCATACTTTGCTTGGTTCTTTGAAATTGCGCGGACAAAAAAGCATGCAGACGACTGTGCTCCTAACCCTTTAACTTCCAAGATCTCATTAGTAATTCTCCTTACTATCGTCCATACAGTTCTTGTAATGTTAGTTTGGAGAAATTGATATTGAATCAACTTGTAATACCCTAATTGATATTTTTCTTTATTCTCATCACCTGTCTGCTTGATATTGTATTGATATTGTAAGAAGAAATTCTCTCTTGGTCACTCATGGGAGTTAAAGGGTTAATTAACTTGGGACAGTCACTTACCTATACGGGACGTCATCAACGACATTATTTTTACCCCCTTGGTTAGATTCCGTCTCGTTGTGCATCACTTAGCGGGCCATATTTCATTTCATCGTATACTCAGCTGCGCCTGTGAGCAATATAAAGCTTATCCTGTGTCCTAATTGGCTCACAGCGGGCGCAAAGTGGGCCCATCTCGCCCACTCAGGATTATTTGTTTTGATCCCACGAAAGAAAAAAGAATCCGTGAAGCGGACTTGTAAAGATCGTAACTTTTGGAAAATTTTGGCGACGGAGTCGCAAAAACCAGCAGAAGACAGTCAAAACAAAGAAGACATGAAAGAGTCTTATCATTATTTAACTACAAATAAAGTTGGCTTTCTTATCCGGTTCTCGAAATAAGGCAATCTTAATTCTTATTGAAGCGAAATCTTTTGCTAAACGATAAATCATTGACCTAGTTTGTTCGGTCAAGATGGCTAGATATTACCCTCGTTCTTTTGGCCAAAATCCAGCCATCTTGACCTCACGTTTGGTGAACAACGCATATGTACGGCCCGCTTAATGCAAAAGTTTGTTTGAATTGAAATCTTTCCCCTCTATTTGAACACAGAGATATAATAAATATCTTAATGACCTCCTTTTCTCGGTCCGAATTGTAAGTTGTGGAATCTCCATTCATAGCTCGCGTGTGTCATAAATCAAAGCGGAAAGACACCCGGTCTGCACATGGATGCAGATCGTGATGCAACAAACCTAGCAAGAATATCATTAATACCTGTCTGTGGCTCATGTGTCACGTAAAGGAAAAAATAAAGGAAAAAGATAAAAGGAAAAAAGAGAGATAAAATTATTTGAGTACGTGCAATTGTTATGACAGTGCATTACAATATTTGGACGCACTGTAATGTATGTACACGTAGCGCGTAAAAACTAGTCGTGGTCATCATATTAAAGTTTTAATAACTTTACAACCCAGTTGCTGAGTAAAGACATCGCAAGAGGTGCAGTCTTGGGCTATTACGTTTTGCACCGGCTTAACAGCACTCCTCTCTGGATTAATAAAACTGTTGATAGAGCCGAATTGACATCGTTGTTGGTGGGACCACTAAATGAACACACTTCATACGAGTTTGCCATGCAGGCGTTTAACAGTAAAGGTGCCAGTCATTTAAGTGCTTCGGTGAGAAAGACTACCGACCAGCATAGTGAGTGTTACGTTACTTTTTTTTTAATCAATCTATATTGTTATTCATTTTGTTATGAATACTGTCAATTTTTGTGTAATTTCGGGCAATTTTTATTAGTTATACAACCAAAACTGCTTGCAGCCTTTTGTTTCCTTCATGGTTACGATGACAATTACATTTGCTGTACAGACACTCTGATGATGGTATGAATAAAGGTATACTCAGAAATTTGAAAAGATTTTCAGCCGTTCTCTCCTCAGTTTGGTAGCCATGAAAAGCACCGGGCCTTATGATAGTTTCCTTTAGCTTTAAGAGCCTAGTGAGCCACCACAACTAGTCACAATTAACGAGGTAACATGTACAAGTATCAATGTATCCTGGGGTTATTTCCCTGCCGATAGTCGAAATGGAATCATTCAAGTATATGAAGTATATTATAGTTCTCATTTGCCAAATGGTCGTTCACAGATTTTGTGACAATTTAACTTTTGGTCATATTCTCCTGATTTTGCCTTTAGAACCGCGTAGTACACCACAAGCTGTTACAGTTAGTGCTACATCTTCTAAAAGTATCTTCGTCTCCTGGGATCCTGTCACTGCTGATGATCGAAATGGAATTATCAAAGGATACATCGTGAATTACCAAGCCTTACCAAATGGTTACATCGTTGCTAAGATCCTCAATATCACTTATGAGGAACAGAATAATAGACAAACAGTGACTTTAAGTAACCTGAATGAGTTTACAAACTACAGCATCAGGGTATTAGCATTTACTGTTTTTGGAAATGGACCAGTAAGTGTTAGCCAGGTTGTGGAGACACTGGAAGACAGTAAGTTTTATGCCAGCAACTGCGCTATTATTTTTACTTTGTGTTTGTTGGAGCCTTTAATCGCGTTATATCGGCAGCACCGTCAATTTTCTTATGAAAGGTTTCTTTTTTATATAAAAAAGCGTTTTTTGTTTGTCCTATGGACGCAGAAACAGTCCTTTGTAATACTGAGTGTTTTTTAGTTTTTTTTTTTTTAGTTTTGATTTTCTAATAATTCTTCCTAACCCTAAGCAATTGAAAGGCACTCGTCCTCTTGACAGTAGGTTGCTTTCAGGGGATTTTCTAATCAGTGGAAGTTTTCTTTTGCCAAATGCTCGTTCACAGCTTTTGCGACAGTTTTACTTTTGGTCATACAAGCCTCCGTGATGACGTGCAAGATCGACGAATTAAGGTTTTATAAACGTTGCTGAAATTCAGATGTCCTTTTTAACATCATGATTTTACCTGTGAAACTCGGGGGCCCGCCAAAGGCAACATCTTTTAAATGTATAGTCGATTTTTTCTATTCCGGGCTTTTTGTTAATTTTGTTGTTGTGATTTACTTCTGAGCTTGTTACTATCCATACAAAAGTTTTTTTTGTACCAGGGGTCAGTAGCCAATGTTCCTTCCATGCTGGTTTGCTTTAGGGAGTTTTTTTCTTATTGCAGACGTTTTCTTTTGGCACGTTCGTTTTCACATCTTCTTGGAACTTGAAAACATGGTTCCTCAAACGTCATTTTTAAATTCCTCAAATTACAGTAACATGTAAGAGTGAAAGTGTTGACTTAAAAAATGTTGCTGATATGTTTAATCTAAGATGTACCCTTTAACTTTACGATTTTGCCTCTAGAACCGAGTGGTGCACCACAAGCTCTTACAGTTAGTGTTACATCTTCTAGAAGTATCTCCGTCTCATGGGATCCTGTCATTGCTGAAGATAGAAATGGAATTATTAAAGGATATAGAGTAAATTATCACGCCCTACCAAATACTTACGCGGTCACTAAGTTCCTCAATATCACTAAAGAGCAACAGAATAAAAGACAAACAGTGACTTTAGATAATCTGAATGAGTTTACAAACTACAGCATTGGAGTGTTAGCATTTACTCTTCTTGGAAATGGACCGGCAAGTGTTGGCCAAGTTGTGGAGACGCTGGAAGACAGTAAGTTTTATTTCAACATCTGTGCTGTTATAGTTACTTTTGTTGTGTTTGTTGCTGCTTTTAATAGAATCATATCGGCAGCACTGTAAATTTTCCTTTCAAAGGTTGTTTTCTTTAAAAGCGTTTTTAGTTTTTCTAGTGCACACATAAACAGTACCTTGTGATACTGAGTGTTTTATAGTTTCCTTTTGTTTTTTTGTTTCTATTGGTTTTGAATCCCTTTGCATTTCTTGCAAAACTGTAATGTAACAGACAGCAAAAAATTCCTCAAATTAAAATAACATATTATGGCCATGGGCCAGGACCCCCAAAAATGACCTTTCTCACTTATTAGAGGTACCCTTTTTTAAGGGTACTTTGTGTACGAAAATAATAGAAGTTTTCTTCCAGATGAGTTTTTAAATTTCTGAGGTAAAAATTTATTTGATTTTTAACGATTTTTTTCCCATGACAGCGCTACGATATACTTAGTAAAAGTATAAAATTTGGAAATGTTTTTGTTTATTGTTCGATCTCGCAAAATATTTTCCAAATGGAAGTAGAAAATAGTAACAGATTCACAGCCAATAGTAAGGTTAGATGCCATCGTTACAAAGACAGCCCATCTTTATTAATATCCAAACGCCATCTTGAATCCGTCATGTTGGATATTAGGAAACGATTACTCTAACACGTAATAAAGCGAAATTAATTGTTTGAAAATATAAAGTATTGTACGTTTTAAGTGAAATTACTTAAAAATCAATCTTCAAAAGTCCATTAATTTTGAGAAGGACACAACTGAAACGAAATATTCGAAAAATCAGAGAACTTAAAGGTTATCAATTTGCCTGAATAAGAGCACCCAATTCACATTGCACATCACATTCACATTCACATTCATCATTGTCTCAACCATATTGCTAACAGAAAATTCTTTCTTGGTTTTTTTCATCTTCCGAGGTCGCCATTTTCGTCATGTCTCGGAATATTCATCATCGGACATTCGCTCTTCCTCCTCCTTCGCAGCACGATTAATGTGTTGCCAGCTAGGAGACTGTTAAGGGAAAAGCATTTAGTTTTTCCTAGAATATTGATTACACTATCGTGTAGTTTAACAGGTTTTGGTGGCCATGATATTTTAGAGCTATTTTGAAATAACTGCATCATAGCGTGCAGGCCAGCTTGCTATAGCTAAATTTCCTTGTTTTCGGATGGAGTATTCCTTTAATAATTGTCTAATTGCTAAGATCGTGACAATATTACTACCTCTTTAAGCAGGCGGTTTTTCCCTACATGTCCTTTCAATAACGACCAGTTCGCTATGATCTTAGGTCGTTTCGCAGTCTCTCAGGAGAGTTGGCTCACGTCTACTCTCATCGATCTTTTCGGTTACGTCTTACGAAACATTTAATGATCCCGCAGGCAGAACTTGATCCACTTAATTCTAATCGACCGAAAAGGCCGTAAGGAAGTTAAACCGTTTCACTAGAAACTGAAAGCCGATTTGATACAAGGCGATAAAAAAAGAAAAAAAATTAAGGTGAATCGATACATCGACAAAGTAGATGAAACACAACTTCAGCAAGTCAATCACAGTCCATTCTTGGCCGATCTTACACAGTTAATTACGGTACAATATTTCAACTGTCGCTATTTCGAAGAAAACAAAACTGGAAAGAGACGTTAGTGAAATTGCCTATGACGTTACCGAAATGATCTTTGATACGTCGGTCAAATGACCTGAAACGTTAGCGGAACCACCTAAACCGTTAGCGAACTGGTCTTTAGCGAAACGCCGGAATGTTATTGCCTCAGTGGCCAGTTGAGCCTTTCAAAATTTTTGGGTAGAAAAAAAAAATTATCATGAAGGAGATCTTGAAATTACAAAGAGTCACCAAATTCCGTTTCCACCTTAAAAAATGTTACTTTGTTGATTTGAATCTTTCAGTCGCTGCTACTGATTACCGGATGTATGATCAAACGTAACACTTTAGTTTCTCTCTCAGATCAACCATCTTGACTAGCGTAGGATTTTCTAATGTATCTGTCATAGCTTTGCAATTCGGTATCATGTGAAATAATTGGTTTTATTTTTTTTTAGAGGGCACGGTAACGAATCCTGCCATCTGATTGGTTCTTTATCCAGTCAGTATTTTCATATCTCTGCCCACTGGCCACGGTAACACTTTCGTGAATCGTCGAGTTCATCCAAAATTTCGTTGCCATTTTTCATAAATATATCTCGTTTTTCCGGCTGGGCAGTATTTTTAAGCAAACACGTCGGTCACTACCTCAAGCCGATAAATAACTTATGAATCCTCTCTTTTCTCTCTCTCAAATCACTTTGGTTGACAGAAAAATATTGCTTTCAGAATGAATTTAACTATTTGTATAAGCAATAGTGTCATTACGTTGGTTGACAAGCGGCCTAAAAACTGTCTGCAATTGATTTTAATCTTTCACAAAAAGTGCCTAGAAAGTTAAAACGTGAGGTATTTGGTTACAGTTAAACTAAACGATGGAAATCTCATTCATTTAATACCTGAATTTTCTCAAACAATTTGTTCGTAGTGAGAGAGCTAGCAATTCTACGACGAATATACGCTCTCGGTGAGTCTTTCCGAGTCCGTTCAATTTGGACATTTGTACCGTAAATTGCAAAACAGAAACTGAAGGAATTTATTGAGAGAGAGCCGCATTAAATCCCCTTGTGTCTCGTTGGAGTGTGTCATTCGAATTTAGTTTTTGTGGAGGCAAGACCAGATTTACATCGTCATTGCAGCAAACAAACGAGCAAACTCTCACAACTTCGAAATAAAAGATTTGAATTTACTCACAATTACTTTCCTCGCCGTTTACTTAATGAACAGAGGTAAATCTTCGTACATGAATTAATCGTCGATGAGAGTGAATAATACTTCCCGTTAGATCATTAAATGTTTTTGAAGAAAACATTGTCGTGTCAGTCCTTGCCAAACTAGTTCCGTTGTTTTTCAAATGTTCTTGCGCTTTTTTCTTTTTTCTTACGTGCTCTCTAATAGACAGGTGTCAGATTGTGACAAATACTTGTAAAAAATAATATTTCAAAGTTTTTTTGGAAGCCTTTTAAATCACCTTTATCCTTACGCAAATGAAAATGTTTCGATGAGGCATCTCTCTTTAATTTGTATCACCTCTATTTTAACGACCAATTACTCGCTCGAAAATTGTTCAGTTTATGGAAGATCTTGCCGTGGTTACAAACCAAAATCATTCAGGTTCTTTCGGAAAGAATTTCGTAAAGTTAAAAAAAAAAAGTGTTATTTACCGGCTAAAGGTCGGTTCATATGGTGAAAAACTGTGACCTCGGTCTTGAGTACATGTTTACTTTGTCTGGGCTGTCATAATCTTGATAGCACTGGTGGGAGTATCATGAACCGAAGACCGAACTCAACCGAAGACCGAAGACCAAAGACCCATAACCGAAATATCGCGCACCATACGGAGGCGTTGAAATGCACGTTATCGGTAGAGTCCTTGTTTGTAGAAAACGTTGGGATCAAAGTACAAAACGAAGACCTTCGCGAAAATGCTTCTTCAAACCACGAAATACTGACATGATATCGTTCGCTATGGTTTTTGGGACTTTAAAATAAACGTTATTGAATTTTTCAAGACCGCTCCACTCAATTCTTTTCTTGAGCAAGATCAAAGAGGTCAATTCTGAGTAGGCAGGATGGGCTCATCATGCCCACTCGGTTAGCCAATCAGAACACAGAATTTGCCTCATGTTTTTCACAAGTGTTGCCAGCGATATAATGACGTGTATCAAAACGCCTCACAAAACGTAGTAGCGATGTGTCATAAGTTAGACGTCTCCCTCATGTTGACTTTCATTAGTAGACACCTCTGGCCTTGATGCTAAGAATCAGCCATTAGCTAATCACGAGAGGAACGGCCAATAACTCTGCTATCACCCGTAGGAATAGCAGCCTTTTTCATCATGAGTTCTGCTCGTTTTAGGCCCTTCTCGACGAGACCTTTGTTCTCCACTTCATAAATTACACCCTTGAATCTCTTCGGCGTTTTCCATTTTTTGAGAAGTTTTCTCCAATTCTCGCTTTATTGTTTTAAAGGCTACAGTATTTACTGCTATGGCTGACTGGATGAATTTCTCCTTCCTTAGAACTCTCCGGAATAATAACAATTGTAATAATGATAGTAAATAATCTCCATCATCCGAGCAGTGACTGATACAAATTTCACAAAGAGGCTGTTTAGTTTGGTCTGTTCTTATCAGTCGTTGTGATCTTGATAATATTCGATCGCCAACTATTTGCTTTCTAGTGCTTTCGCCGACAAAATACAGGTTTCTGCATTAAGTCTTTATCGTTATGTTTTTTGTTTCTCAACTATGTCTTTTGAATTCGTCCTAAAACGGTAAGGTTACGAATCGACTAGAACTGTGAAGCACTTCCCTATCTTGGAACGTACCCATGATACCTTACGAGTTTTACTAAATGGTTTGAAAACATTGTTTTGAAATGCTGTTCAATGTTTCATGTACTGATCTATTTGCCATGATCAACAAAATAGGTATTGGCTATCAAATGAATTTGTGAAGTCTTTGACATAACCTTTAGTCAGATCACAATCACATTTTCTCCTCCAGAAGGTACCGAGAACCCTACTGTGGCCCATGGACTAAAATAAGTGAGAGTGTACACTTAGAAAATGTTGCTGAAATGTGTAATCTTAGATGTACTTTTTACCCTCGTGATTTTGCCTTTAGAGCCGACCGGTGCACCACAAGCTGTTACAGTTAGTGTTACATCTTCTAGAAGTATCTCCGTCTCCTGGGATCCTATCATTGCTGATGATAGAAATGGAATTGTCAAAGGATATAAAGTAAATTATCAAGCCTTACCAAATGGTGACATTGCTACGAAGATCTTCAAAATCACTAAAGAGCAACAGAATAAAAGACAAACGGTGACTTTAGGTAATCTGAATGAGTTCACAAACTACAGCATTGGGGTGTTAGCATTTACTGTTTTTGGAAATGGACCGGCAAGTGTTGGCCAGGTTGTGGAGACACTGGAAGACAGTAAGTTTTATGCCAGCATCTGTGCTGTAATTGTTTCTTTTACTGTGTTTGTTCTTGCATTTAATTAAATCATATTGGACGCAAAAACAGTACTTTGGGATACTAAGTGTTTTATATTTGTCCAGCCTTTCTATTTTATTTTTGATGTTCTCATATTTGGTGCAAAGTCTTAATGTAACAGATAGCGAAAGGCATATATGTTGTTGTTATATATATGTTGTTGGCAATATTCCTTCCGTTCTAGTTTGCTTCGAGGGTTTTGTTTTTGGTTTTTTGTTAAATTATTGAGTTATTTTTCATTCTTTTATTTGTTTATTTTTCAATGCGGACGCATTCGTTTGGAAACTGTTCTTCGAAACTTGTAAAGATAGTTCTCTTAAACATCATTTTTTAACTCCTGAATTTGCAATAACATGATAGATTGAAAGTTTAGAGTTAAAAAGTGTCGTCGATATATTCAATGTTAGATGTACTTTGTAATTTCATGATTCTGTGTTTAGAACCAAGTAATGCACCACATGCTGTTACAGTTAGTGCTACATCCTCTAGAAGTATCTCCGTCTCATGGGATCCTGTCGTTGCTGATGATCGAAATGGAATTATCAGAGGATACATCGTGAGTTATCAAACATTACCAAATGGTCACCTGGTCGCCAAGATCCTCAATATTACTAACGAGGAACAGAATAATAGACAAACGGTGACTTTAGCTGGTCTAAATGAGTTTACAAACTACAGCATTGGGGTTTTAGCATTTACTATTTTTGGAAATGGACCAGCAAGCGTTGGGCAAGTCGTGGAAACACTCGAAGACAGTAAGTTTTATGCCAGCATCTGCGCTGTTATTGTTACTTTTATTGTGTTTCTTCTTGTCTTTAATTACATTATTGATCGAGTTTACAAGCTAAAGCATTTGGGCGTTGGTATTTACTGTTTTTGGAAATGGACCAGCAAGTGTTGGCCAGGTTGTGAAGACACTAAGACAACAAGTTTTACACCAGCATTCGGGCTGTTCTTGTTAATTTTATCGCTTTTTTGTTGTTGCGGCCTTTAATCACAACTGTACATCGGCAGTAATGTCTATTTCCTTATAAAATATTGTCTTCTTTTAAAAGCGTTCTTTGGTCTGTCTTATGGACATATTAATAATGCTTTTGATACTGAGTGTTTCATAGTTTGCGGTTTTTTACTGGATTGATCTTCTTGTACTTCTTGCAAAATTTTTAATATAACAGATATCAAAAGGCATGCGTCCTCCTGACAATAGGGTACTTTTAGAAGTTTTAATAAGCAGGAGACATTTTCTTTTGCCAAGTTCTCGTTTACAGATTTTGCGATAGTTTAACTTATGCTAGTACAGGCCTCCTTGAAAATAGGATAACGTGCAAGATGAAAGAAGTCAACTTTGTGAACCTTGCTAAAATTCTGATGCCCTTTATACATCATGATTTTACCTCTAAGATTCGGTGGTCCATCGAATGCCTCATCTTCTAAAACACATCTTTTTTTTTATCGTTTTAATCTATTCCGGATTTTTGTTATTGCTTACCTTTGAGCACCTTACTTTTCATGCAAAATTTTTGTGTACTAGAAAGCAGTAAGGAATAATTCTTCTATTCTAGGGTTTTGTTTGTTTGACTTAATCCTTTTTTTTGAATATAAAAGCATTCGTCTGTAAAAAAGGTTGTTCATGGCTTCTTCGAAACCTTTAAAAGTAATTTTTATTTCTGAAATTGCAATAACACGAAATAGTGAAAGTGTAGAGTTAAAAAAATGTCACTCGGATACATTTAATCTAAGATATCCTTTTTACCTTTAGAACCCAGTGGTGCACCACAAGCTGTCACAGTTAATGTGACATCTTCTAGAGGTATCTCCGTCTCATGGGATCCTGTCGTTGCTGATGATCGAAATGGAATTATCAAAGGATACATCGTGAATTATCAAGCCTTACCAAATGGTTACATGGTCGCTAAGATCCTCAATATTACTAATGACGAACAGAATAATAGACAAACGGTGACTTTAGTTGGTCTAAATGAGTTTGCAAACTACAGCATTGGGGTTTTAGCCTTTACTATTTCTGGAAATGGACCAGCAAGCGTTGGGCAGGTTGTGGAGACACTGGAAGACAGTAAGTTTTATGCCAGCATCTGTGCTATTGTTACTTTTATTGTGTTTGTTCTTACTTTTAATTGCATTATATCGGCAGCACTGTCAATTTTCTTACAACATTTTAACTGTCGCTATTTCGAAGAAAAGAGAACTAGATAGAGATGTTAGTGATATTTTGTGCCTATGACGTTAACGAAATGACCAATGATACGACAGCCAAATGACCTGGAACATTAGGGAAACCACCTTGACCGTTAGCAAACTGGTCACTAGTGAAACGGCTGCAATTTCCTCAGTGCTCAGCTGAGCCTTCGAAAGATTTTTGGCTAGAACAAAAGGGTTATTATTGATGAGATCTTAAAGTTGCAACAAGTCACCAAATTCCGTTTCCAACTTTCTTAAGAAGTGTTACTTTGTTGCTGATTTGAATCTTCTAGTTGCTGCCATTGATGACCAAATGAATCATCCTACGTAGCACGTTAACTTTTTCTCAGATCAAACATCTTAACTAGCTTGGGATTTTCTAATGTATCTAATCGAATAAACCCAAACGGTTTGTCATAGCTTTGCGATTCGTTATTATGTGAAATAATTGGTTCTATTCGAAACAGATTCGCCTTCCAAGCATGAGTACTTGTTTGTTTTGTCTGGTCGGTTATAACCTCAATAGCTCCGGTAGTGGAGGTTTCTATGAACCGAAGACCTTATTCAACCGTGGACCGACGACCTAAGAGCCAAAAGCGAGAGATCGCGCGCTACAATTTGTGAGGCGTTGAAATACACGTTATTGATGGTATCCTCGTTTGTACAAGCCTACTAATAAAGAATTTCTTGTGGAAAGGCCAATGACTCTGCTATCATATGTAGCAATAGCATCCTTTCTCATCATGACTTCTGCTCGTTTTAGGCTCTTCTCGACGAAGCCTTTGCTCTTCTGCGTTTTCCATTTTTTGAAATATTTTCTCCAACTCTTGCTTCATTTACGCTATTTCCTCCTATAGCTGACCGGAAGAATTTCTCCTGCTCTGGCAGTCTCCGCCAAATCAAGCAGTAGACTGTGATTTATCATGATAATAATAATAATAATGATAATAATAAAAATAATTTTTCACGACAAGGCCGTTTCGTTTGGTCTGTTCATATCCGTCGTTGAGATCTTGTTACTATACTAAGCCAACTGTTTGCTTTCAAGTGCTTTCGTTGACGAAAGATACAGATTCCGGCGTCAAGTCTTTATCTTTGTGTTTTTTATTTACCAACTATGTTTTTGAATGCGTCCTGAAACGGCAAGGTTACGAATGGACTAGAACTTTGAAACACTTCCCTATCTTGGAACTTACCCTTGATATATTGCGAGTTTGACTTAATGATTTCATTTAAGTTTTCTTTCAAATCAAATAAATTTATTTGGCTGTAAGCCTGGTACATGGTTTTGATTTTCAATATTTCACGTACTGATTTATTTGCAACGATAAACAAGGAAGGCATTGGAAATAATCATTTTATTGTCAGCCTCGTTTCCATGTTGAGAAGTACTCCAAATACACGAAAACATTGCGAAAGCTACAATGTCACGATTGCTATCAAATGAATTTGTAAAGTCTTTAACTTAAACCTTTAATCAGATAATACTCACATTTTCTCCCCTAGAGAACCCTACTTACTAATAAGAGTGAGAGTGTAAACTCAATAATTGTTGCTGATATGATTAATCGAAGACGTACTTTTTTAACTTCATGATTTTGCCTTTAGTACCAAGTAATGCACCACAAGCTGTTACAGTTAGTGCGACATCTTCTAAAAGTATCTTTGTCTCTTGGGATCCTGTCATTGCTGATGATCGAAATGGAATTATCAAAGGATATAAAGTGAATTATCAAGCCTTACCAAATGGTGACATGGCCGCCAAATTTCTCAATATCACCAGAGCGCAACAGAATAAAAGACAAACAGTCACTTTAGATCATCTGAATGAGTTTACAAACTACAGTATAGGAGTGTTAGCATTTACTGCTTTCGGAAATGGACCAGCAAGCGTTGTCCAGGTTGTGGAGACACTGGAAGACAGTAAGTTTTATGCCAGCATCTGTGCTGTTATTGTTACTTTTATTGTGTTTGTTCTTGCATTTAATTAAATCACGTTGGACGCAGAAACAGTACTTTGGGATACTGAGTGTTTTATATTTGTCTAGCCTTTCTATTTTATTTTCTATTATTATTTAAGCTATTCCGGATTTTTGTTAGTAATGTTATTTACTTCGGAGCCTATTACTTTTTATGCAAAATCTTTGTGTACCAAAAAGTGGTAGGCAATATTCCTTCCGTTCTAGTTTGTTTCCAGGGTTTTGTTTTTTGTTAAAATTATTGAATTATTTTTCATTCTTTTATTCGTTTATTTTCAATGCGAACGCATTCGTTTGGAAACTGTTCACAGCTTCTTTGACAACTTGTAAAGATGGTTCTCTTAAACATCATTTATTAACTCCTGAAATTGCAATAACATGAAAGATTGAAAGTTTAGACTTAAAAAGCGTCGTCGATATATTTAATGTTAGATGTACTTTGTAATTTCATGATTTTGTGTTTAGAACCAAGTAATACACCACAAGCTGTTAAAGTTAGTGTTACATCCTCTAGAAGTATCTCCGTCTCATGGGATCCTGTTATTGCTGATGATCGAAATGGAATTATCAAAGGATACATCGTGAATTATCAAGCATTACCAAATTGTTACATCGTCGCCAAGATTGTCAATACTTTAGTTGGTCTAAATGAGTTTGCAAACTACAGCATTGGGGTTTTAGCCTTTACTATTTCTGGAAATGGACCAGCAAGCGTTGGGCAGGTTGTGGAGACACTGGAAGACAGTAAGTTTTATGTCAGCATCTGTGCTGTTATTGTTACTTTTATTGTGTTTCTTCTTGCTTCTAATTGCATCATATCGGCAGCACTGTCAATTTTCTTACAACATTTTAACTGTCGCTATTTCGAAGAAAAGAAAACTGCATAGAGATGTTAGTGAAATTGTATGCCAATGATACGTCAGCCAAATGACCTGGAACTTTAGGGAAAGGGAAGAGGGGAAAGAGAAAAATTTCAAAACGGAGAACTTCGCGAAGATGCTTCGTCAGGCCACGAAATACATGATGTCGCTCGCTACGCCTTATGAGACGTTGAAATAGATGTTATTGATAAGGTCTTCATTTTGCAGAAAAAGAAGGGGTCAAACAACAGTGAAATGCATGTTGACCGAGGTCTTTTCTGCGTTTTTGTGGACCTGAATAAAGTTAAGGTCCATAAAAACGAAATAAAACAACAGGACTCATATCCAGCCATCTTGACCAAACAAGCCTACTAATAAAGAATTTCTGGTAGAGGAAAAAGATTTCGCTTTAAAAAGACTTAAGAATGATATGTTGAATTTGAAAGCAGGGAAAGAGACGCAACTGTTGCAGCATAATATACCTAGGAGAGTCTTCTGTTTTCTTTGTTTTACTGTCTTCTGCCACTTTTTGCAACTACATCGCTACATTGTTCAACAGTTGCGAACTTTGCAAGTCCGTTCCACCTAAGTCTTTCCTTGAGCGGGGTCAAAGCGGGCAATCCCAAGCACGCAGGATGGGCTCATCTTGCCCACCCGGTTAGCCAATCAGAACACAGGATTTGCTTCATATTCCCCACGGGTGCTGCCAGCGATATAATAACGTGTATTAAAACCTCAAGCTCTTCTTTTAGCCCATCATCCTTTTCTTTCCGGGTGGTGTATACCAGTCGTTGTACCTCGGCTTCATCTGGGGTCTCATGGGATTGCGCCTCTATCTTGCTTACAAGTGGAGCACTTACTCTAATAGAGGCTGAGTACTTCGCATCCGCACTATCAGATAGATTTATGAGCCCAAGACCACCCATACGCACCGGCAATGCTACTAGATCGCGCTCTGCCTCAGAACAGTTACGTTCTATGAGCGATGGTATAAGCACATCCGAGATTGCACGCTCTAAGGGCTGCAGTGGGGTCTCGATATCCGGCAATGTTCTCATAAAGTACGTCCACCGATGTCTAAGCCCAAATGTGAATGCTGCATAACTAGCTTGTGGCTGAGATCTTGCAGACTCCGCCAACCTCGTCACTTCTCCCACCCAATCTTCTACCTTGCCGCCCACATAATGCTATGCTCAAGATAGGACCGTGAGCCCAGCGCAGCGCCCAGGTGTTTGCGCCCCTCGGTGGTGATGTTAATACCAGTCCCTGCGAACATTTCCTTTGCGCGACCTTCCTTTTCCGGCTTAACAACAAGCCAACACTTCTTGGGATTGGGATAATATCCAAGGGGCGAACCAGCCTGCCTCAACTCGTCCCACCATTGTTTGACCTCTTCTAGGGCGCCTGCTCCAGTAGCATCATCCGTGAACCAGCATTGCTTCGCAGTGCTAAGGTTATGAAGTAACGATATTAGCGGTTGTAAGCTGATTGCATACATTGACATAGCTAAGGGGTCTCCCTGTGTGGTTCCTTCTGCAGATTTGAGTTCACTACCACCATATGTGGCGATCAATGGGCATAGCACTCTGATGTTATTCAGCGCAGCCGCTCTGTTTAGTGAATTGAAGGCGTTTGAGGCGTCAACTAGTAAGGCGGCGTCAGTTTCATCGGTTTCAAAGATATTGCGCATGGCATGTATTGCGACTTCCCCTCCACTCTTCTGACCAGCGCACACTTGCATGGCCCCGCTTGCGTTGATCACATCTTGTTTTACAACTCTAGTGACGCATTTGCCTATTATTCTTCTAATCACCTCGCCCACGCCGATTGGGCGAACCTCGCCATTGCCTTTGTCAAGCGGAATAAGGCGACTGGCTAAGATAGGCTCAATGGTCAGCGGATCAGCAAATTCTGTGCACAGCCTTCTTGTGAGTGTATCAATGGACTCCCATAGGTTGATACTTGATCTCTTAAAAGACTTGCTTGCCAAGATCCTCTTAAAACCATTGGCGTCCACACCCGAAGGGCCACCAGACCCTTTAGTTCTCAATGCCGCTTTTCTCACAAACTCTCCATTGATTTCTTGGTACACTGAGTCAGGCATGTCTTCCACGGGCCCGAACAACAGTGACCCTAGTTTAGCCCTCTGCGCATCAGGGTGTTTTTCTCTTAGTTGCCTCACAACATCATCGGTCAGCGGTAATACTCCTCCACTATCATCCTCACTGAGATATCGTAGGGCCGAATTAATGTGGCCCTCCATGACCAGCTTTGCAAAAATGCGCGCTTTATTTGGTAGATCATTTTTGTTCGACTTTAATAAGCGCAGTTGGATCATTCTCCCTTCGCGTAATAGAGACTCGATCTCGCCATTTCTCCACAGTGTTAACCGTTTCTCAAGACATTTTTGATGTTCCTTTGCTTTTGACCGCTGACCAGGCTTTTGTAGCGCAGTAGCGAAGAGAACAATAGCGGCTTTTAGCACAAGGTGTTGCATGGGTGATCTATTGTTCCAGTCGTCAATAAGCTTCGTTAACTGGTCAATAAAGTCACGACCAGTTTTACCACACGGGACCAAGAAGGTGTTTTTTCTCCATGTTGTTATTTCATTATACGCATCATCGATCGTAGCAGTGGTGATTGTTATCATTCCCCCGTCGGAACTTCGGCCCCAGTTGACCGATCCTGGCAAGTTGACAGTCGCATAAGTAGGTAGACACTCAGGAACATCATCAGACACATCCGGCCAATCGTCCATTGTAACTCTGCTTTCCATTCGGATTTGCAGCGGCTCTGCGCTATGTAAATTCAGGCCTCTTGTTGGAGAATTAGAATTTCCACTTTCTCTATTTTGGTTGTTTTGACTTTCATTTTCAATATTTTCCTGACTAGAATATTCACTTGTAGATGTGATGTTCCCCGGATCCTCGACACTTCTCTCTCTGATGGATAGATCTGTTCCATTATTTCTTATTTTCTCCAACCTCGATTCCTGATCCCGTAGATTTTGGATCTTCAATTGTAAATTCTTTTACCCCATATCATCCCACAACTCCTTCATAACGTCAATATATCCTATTTTCCTTCCATTCTCGTTGCAAGGAGGATTCTCTGAAGAAATAAGCTCCTGCGCTTTTTTCTTGCGCTCCAAAATATCCTTATTCATCTGTTCTGTCCATTTTACTTTCAGCTTCCTCGCCTGACGTGACATGGCATTCAGTCCTCCTCGAAGTTGGAAAGCTTCAAATCGAAGCTCCAGATAGTTTATTCAGATAAGATTATGTGCAATTTTCAAGCCAGGGAAATGACGCGACACGCTGAAATTGTGTTCATTTAAAAGATTTCGGCCGTGTGTAATTCAATTTCGCTTAAAGTTAGAGATCTCCAGGTTATCTGAAGCCAGAAGCCTGCGATGCTCCAAAACATGCCACGCATAATGATGATAATGATAATAATAATAATAATAATAATTATAATGATATTAATAATGATTTCAATTTTCCGAGCAATAACTTGTCACAACGAGGCCGTTTCGTTTGGTCAGTTCTTAGCAGTCGTTGAGATTTTGATTCTGTACTATCACCAACTGTTTGCTTTCAAGTGCTTTTGCTGACAAAAGATGCAGATTCCGGTGCTAAGTACTTATCTTTGTGTTTTTTTATTTATCAACTATGTCTTTTGAATGCGTCCTAAAACGACAAGGTTACGAATCGACTAGAACTTTGAAACACTTCACCATCTTGGAACTTACCCTTGATACATTGCGAGTTTGACTTAATGATTTCATTTAAGTTTCCTTTCAAATTAAATAAATAAATTTGGCTGTAAGCCTGAAACATTGTTTTGAAATGATGTTCAATGTTTCATGTACTGATTTATTTGCACTGATAAACAAAGAAGGCATTGAAAATAATCTTTTTATTGTCAGTCTCGTTTCAATGTTGAGAAGTACTTCTTGAAATGCACGAAAAAATAGTTAAAGCTACATTTTCACGATTGCGATCAAGCGAATTTGTAAAGTCTTTAACTTAAACCTTTAATCAGATAATACTCACATTTTCTCCCCTAGAGAACCCTACTGTGGCCAACGAACTTATAAGAGTGAGAGTGTAAACTCAAAAATTGTTGCTGATATGATTAATCGAAGATGTACTTTTTTAACTTCATGATTTTGCCTTTAGTACCAAGTAATGCACCACAAGCTGTTACAGTTAGTGTTACATCTTCTAAAAGTATCTTTGTCTCTTGGGATCCTGTCATTGCTGATGATCGAAATGGAATTATCAAAGGATATAAAGTGAATTATCAAGCCTTACCAAATGGTGACATGGCCGCCATGTTTCTCAATATCACCAAAGCGCAACAGAATAAAAGACAAACAGTCACTTTAGATCATCTGAATGAGTTTACAAACTACAGCATTGGATTGTTAGCATTTACTGCTTTTGGGAATGGACCAGCAAGTGTTGGCCAGGTTGTAGAGACACTGGAAGACAGTAAGTTTTATGTCAACATCTGTGCTGTTATTGTTTCTTTTATTGTGTTTGTTCTTGCATTTAACCGCATCGTATCAGCAACAATATCCATTCCTTTATGGAAGATTTGTTTCTTTTCATAGCAGTTTTTCCCATGGACACATAAACATTACTCTTTGATATTGAGTGTTTCATAGTCTCCGGGGATTTTTTATTGGTTTTGATCGTGTTGCAAAATTCACGTTCACAGATTTTGCGACAGTATAATATCTGGTGATACAAGCTTTCGTGAAAATAGGGTGACGGAAGATTGACGAAGTAAACTTTATGAAAGTTGCTAAAATTCATAATGATTTACTTTTTAACATCTTGATGTAACCTGTAAAACTCTGTGAGCCACCGGAAGCTACATTATCTTTAAAAACAATAGCATTAGAGTGTTAGCATTTCCCATTTTTTGAAATGGACCAGCAAGTGTTGCCTAGGTTGTTGTAAAATTACAGCAAAATAATAGAGCAGTGTCCGTAGAACTAAATACTGTTAACACTATTATTAAGTCTAACTTTGAGACTGATTTACTGTGTGTACGCACGTAAGTAACTTGTTTCCTTAAGCCAGAGAGAAAGAGTAATGACTGAACTTCCACTTGTTACAGTCTTAAATAATCACTCTTCCATTGCGTCACTCCAATCACTACTTTGAAAAAAGAACAGGCGAAGATGGCAAATTATATGATGGGTAGGAAGGAAGAGGTGCAATTTCATTGTCAGGAAACTATTTTTTTTTTGTTTTGGTTTGAGGCTTTAGAATTTTGCTGTAAACAAAATTGTGCTCGTAAAACAAAGAATGTGCAGGGGTACGAATGATGCAGGTATTTACTATCTTGCCAACTGTAAGGGTGTGCAACGATGCATACATTTGTGTACAGTCTGTTTTGTCGATTCTTTTAGATTAGAAACGATAATTTCTCTTAGTCATTATATACTTTTAGTTTCCTTTGTTTCGCCGTCTGTTCTTGAATACAATGATTCAAAGTGTTAGATGAAGCTGTGGTAAA